AGTAATGCAAGCTTTTTTTTTTTTTTCTTTAACTTCTATGCTTCAATATTCTTCTATATTCCGACATGACCATTCTGCATTCAATTTCCCCATTGCCTATACAGTTTCCCATGCATCTGTATGGTTTGGGCTCATGAAAACCCATTTTACACTTATTCTACATGCATGGCAGAGGTGGCAGAAACAATACTGATAATTTCACAGCAATGCTGTTAACATGCTTGTTTATCCTGCCAGGCCCATCTCATAATGAGTTTTGAAGCAGTCTGTAACTTTGCTGGCTTCTCCACACCAATGCACATTTAACTTACCAGAAGAAGCTTTTTTGGAATTTCATCAGCTGGAAGGAATACCAAGGCACACAAATGACACACTGTGAAACTGAAGTTTCCAGCACTGTAGTGTGGATAATCTCTTCCTCAGAATTCAGTTTCCTACTGCTTTAATCCACCTGTGAATTTTTGGGGGAACTGGGCTTCCAGGATTTTAATATTTGAGATTTAAATCTTCCAGCATTGTGATTTCCAGGGTTTTAGACTTCAGGGGCTTTGATCTTTCAGGATTTTGATGTTCTAGGTTATCTGTTATAGCTGGATTTATCTGATCACCCTGGCCATTCAGTGTCCCTTGTCTACTGACATTCTTTCTAATGACTGTTACTAGATGTCAACCTGCATTCCTGTAGCCCACACTTCTCTTCTTGCTCTGAACTTTTCATTAATGTGAATAGCTAACCAATAGCCATTCACCACTATCTACAAGCCCAGACTTATTTAAACTTGGGCTGCTCCACTTCCCACACAAGGTATAGCATACATATTAGGTATACCACAGGAAACTCTCAAAGAATTTGGACTTACTAGGTCATCCAAAGTTTGTGCTGCACAGTTACCATTTACAGCTTGCTCCCAAATGCCAAGTTAATTCATTCATGAGTCAAGTTAGGGCTTCTTCCTCTAGCTCCATCGGTTACAAGGGATCCCTATCAGCTACAAGAAAGGCAGGCATTCAGTAGTAATAGGCGACAGGTGATCTCTGACCATCTGCCAAGGTACCTTGGCCTTCCACCTCATAAGGGATTGTTCTCAGCAATGCCTTACCTTCTGGGTGATGGGTCTAACAGAATTGCCATCAGAATTAGAAGACCATCCAAGTCTTAATTGACATTCTGCCATTTGTTATCCCTCAGTCAGGGTCTTTGTCCCTACCCAGGATGTAGAAGCATACCAAAAGATATTTTATGAAAACTGTAAAGTTCTTTGGCATAGCTTGAACAGGATCCCAAATAGCCTGCCTTTTGATTCTCCCACTGGTATGGTACCTGGAATCTCTGGGGTCATAGGGTCTGCAAGGTCAGATGGCACAAGCAGCTGGGCAGTTGTGCCACAACCTGAACCTGCAGCAGAGCAGGTTCCCACATTGGGCCACATCCAAGCCACCAGTCTTTGTGCTGTTCCAGTGTGTACAGTTCACCATAGTGTTCTCAGGAATACACTGTGCCCACACTCTTAAGAGGCCTTCCCCATGACCAGAAGATACAATGATTACAAGATGCAGTCATTTTTTCCTTTGCTGTTCCTCTTCATGTCTAAAACCATGTAGTCACATACCATATACTTGAGAACTTCCTATCATCAGCTGTATGCAAAGATAAAACATCTGGGAGAGGGGCTACAATCACTGTAACTTCTTCATGGAGTTTTCAGGAATTCACCAGGACTTGTCTTGTTTTCATATGGACCAGACCAATGAATTCAACGGAGATATTAACTGGGAGTAGAGCTCAGAGGTAGAGCGCTTGCCTAGCAAGCACAAGGCCTTGGGTTTGATCCCAGCACAGCAAAAATGAATCTTTTATTGAAGACTATTACCTCCAGTTCCTTCAAAATTTTTTTTTTTAAGGCAGAGTCTCCCAGGGCTGGAGAGATGGCTCAGCGGTTAAGAGCACTGACTGCTCTTGCAGAGGACCCAGGTTTGATTCCCAACACCCACATGGCGGCCATGAACCGTCCTTGACTCCAGTTCCAGGGGAATCCGACGCCCTCTTCTGACCTCCACAGCATTGCATGACACAGGTGCACTCACATACATGCAGGCAATACACATACACATAAAAATTAAAAAAAAAAAAAAGACAGGGTCTCCCTGTAGTCACAGGGGGCCTGGAACTCACTATGTAGATCAGGCTGACCTCAAACTCACAGAGATCTACCTGTCTATCTCCAGAGTGCTGCGTCACCATGCCCAGCTCCCTTCAATTTTTTGAGAGGGGCAATAATCATTCCAATCTGACACCTCCCCCCCTTCCCTGAGATGAGAGGGCTCATTTATTTATTTTAGAGCTGTGCTTCTTATCGATTTGGGGGAGTGTTTATTTGGGGGACTGGGCTTTTAGGGGGCACTTTTATTATGCAAGGGGAGATAAGAATTTCAAAGTTTCCCATTTAGCAATGATAGCACGTGGTTCATTGGCCAAGGAATCAAGTAGTTGCTGTGCCAAATCACCAAGTATACTTATGCCAAATACATTTGGAGATCAGGAAAATAACAAGTCGCTCCTGTATGCCCTTACTCAAACAGAAAGGCCACAATCATGCTTTGAGTCTCCAGATGTCAACAACATTTCTCAACCTGTACTCAACAGTCTTCAAAAATATGTCGTCGCCCCCCTGCCCCAATGATACGGATGAAATGGCTAAGGACCTCTTTGGAGACATGGGAATTCATTACTATAAACACTTGACCTGATGTTGCAACATCATAGTCCAATAGTCCAAAACAACCTAGGCTATCCTTCACCCTTCAGGCTTCAGTTCTGTTCACTGACAGATCTGCAAACTGGACAATGGACAGATGACAATTTTTGCTGGGGCTACTTCTTGCCTTCCTAATTACTCATTCTTGCTTTCATTGGTCCTTCATCTTCAGTGGTACCCTTAGCTGCACCTATTTTGCTACTGAGGCTGCCTTGTTTTATTAACCATCTCCATCATCTCAGCAGCACAGGTACTTCCAACAGTAAATTCAACCATGCCATTCCCTCCAAGATCTACACCAACCTTCTTCTAGTGCTTAAAGCATCTCTAACTCATTATTTCAGGAACCATCATCCCCAATGCCATTAGGGAACCTAATTCCCAATCTGTATTTGCAAGTTAAACCATTAGCACAGCCTGAAGGTCAGCTCTGAACATTTCACTTATGCTGGCGTCCTTCTTACCAGGAAGCAATAAGAATGTTCCTTACTCCTTTGCTAAGTGGCACGTCCTTCAAGCCCTCCCACAGAAGTCACTGGTGAGCGCTCCAGTCTTACTTGGCATGCCCATTTTAACAGGCTCAATCCATCAACCTTCTTAATCCCTGCTTCTACTTTTGCTGCATCAAATCCAGCAATCTGTCTCATTTGGCATGGGCCACTTCATTTTCCATACTCAAAAGAGTCATACTTGTACCACCTCCTGCGGGCCTTGGCAAAGTGTAAACACTTTATTCTTGGAGAACGTTCCCAAATCAAACCCAACTTTTCATCATGCCATCCTTAATCCAGCAGCTTCAGAATCCAATCCCACACGTGTTCCCATGTAACCAGTATATGCTACTTTGGGGTGTAGGCTTTTTCCATGATCAAGTCTAACATGTCCCTGGCTGAGTTACACTGAATTTTCCTTATATATTATCCTAGTAGTCAGGAGGGGAGGGTAGGACAAACCCAAGACGACATGTGCTGTCTTCAATGGAGAGGCCTCAGGGTTTTCCTAAAAGCAAGAGGCAACACTAACCATAAAAAGGAGTGGGCCAAGTACAGGTTCTAAAGACTCAAGGAAACAGGAATTCAATTTTTTCTGGCATCCAGCCCACAGTGAGCCCTGGCTTATGTATAGACGTGTCAAGATTTAAAGTTTAACTACAAATGACAGACACCCCTCTGATCATTAACCCGTGACCATTGCTTCTATCTTTATAAATGAATCAAATGGGCTGTGGTTCAGATGCAAACTATTTCCCTGAGCTCTCTCCTCCAATAGTCACATTTCTGAGTTAGCGTCCCTTCACAAAACCTGAAAATGGATTCACTGAAGCATATTTTCAGACTAACTGGTAAAGCTATCCATCCACCTATTTGGGAAGCTTTTATTTCCTCAAACTCCAAACCAAGTATAAAAGAAAAAAAAAATCATTTCACTAAAGTGGAAATATCTTACATTGGCATCATTTAAAGATATTTAGAGCAAGTTTCAAAGATGTAAAGAGCATGGCTGGTTCAGATTCCAGTTTGCTCATATCTGGGGAAAAGGCCTGCAAGTCTCTGAAGTAAGATACCAAAACCAAAGGAGACATCTAAGAAATCTCATCCAGCAGGGAACACGACACAGAGTCAAATTAGAGACCACACACTGCTTTATAATCTAAATTTATTGAGTAAAACAAAATGAACACCAGAGATACTAAATTTGGTTTGTTTCCAATGTGGCAGATGTCCGTTTGCAGCAGAGAACCGACGTGAAGGAGGTGCACTGTGATGCTGACAATGGGACAAGGAACAAAACCGTCCTCCGGTGAAGCAGGCATCACCTAGCCTAGCCAGTGTGTCAGCTAGAAGTGGAACTCAGCATTTAAAAAGCAGGACTAACACTAGGTAAGCACAGGACCATGAGGAGAGTGAGAAGGCCTGAACATTCAGAGAACCAAGCAGCAGGCTGGCTGGTGGGCAGCGGGTAAAGCAGGTCTCCTGGATCACTTGGGGAACACAGTGACCACATCGTAGCCCTCGGGTGGTGTGACCCGCTCTCGGGCGTGTTTTTCACAGTAGATTTGATCCTCTACAAAGAAATGGCCCTTCTGTTTCAGGTTGGTGCCACAGTCTGTGCACACGTAACATTCAGGGTGGCGGTGATGGTCCCGCAGCTTCACAAACACACCACTGCAGAAGGGAGAGCAGGGCTCCATTAGTGACACCAGGGCCCTGCACTGTCCTTCCTGAGCTGAGGCCTGGGACTTCTCTGCAGAGGCCAAAGAGTAGGGCAGACACCCCAAAAGGCCTCTGAGTGTGGATGGGAAGGGGCCTCTCATCACTTTGGAGCCCCTCCCACTTCCGTGGAGCAGCTCTGTCCTCTCTGCTTTGACACTTTCCTAACCTAAGGATTCCACAACAAGGAAGGCCTGGATCACCTGGCTCAGGACACAGCACCTACAAGGCCTTTCTGCCCTACTTTCCAAACACGGTTAGTTGACATTACACCGAAACCCTGTAACAGGCAGCAGTTCCCACACTTCCATGGTTTGCCCAACCTCTAAGACTGGGGGAAGCAGATACTCACACAATGCCAGTACCACATTTATCACACATGGGCAACTTCTGAGCATTTCCAACCGATGCAGCCACTTTGGTGACCGGAGCTTTAACACTTCTAAATCCTGAGGGCTTGTTGGGATCCCCTGAAACAAAGAAAACACTCACGTTGGCTGAGGATAGTAAAATCACGTATCACTGAGATTTTTCAGAGCCACTTATGTATCTGTCTATTCAAGCAAGGCCATAGCCACTGGAATCAAACCAATGTGATTCTGTGTGGCACTGGACAAGTTACTTAACCTTTTTAGTCTTCCCAAGTTCCTTTAAGATAGGAGACCATTTTTCCCTTCATTGTTATAAAGATTTAAAAAAATGAAAACACACATACATAAAGACCTCCTATAGTACTTGGCTCATGATTGGCCCTCATAACACAAATCATATTATACTCAAATCACAAACATACAAATACTAGCATGGCCCCAGAATGTCAGCAGCTCCAAGGCCTAGACACCCTGCTCCTGGCAGAGATCTTGACAGTCACAATAAGCAAATGTCCTCTTTGGACAAAAGCACCAAATTCACTTGAGTGGCTTGTTCCTGTTCCCCCAGAGCTTCTGTCCTATGCCATGAGAACAGAACAGCAAGACCCAGAGATTGCCTCTAGCTTTGCCAGGTCCCTGGAATAAGAAAATTCAGGGTGCCAAGGTCAGCCCTGCCATAGCCAGCTGAGCCATCACTAACCAGCAGCCCTTCTGTAACAGGAGTTACCCAATGCTAACTCAATATGAGAGGAGTTTACAGCACTTTACTGGCTTTTATGGAAGCAGCCTGGACTTTTAATACTCCATCATGGGTACTTATGGCACAGTCTCTCAGGTTTCCCCTATTACCACTGGGTCTTCTTAAACTAGGGACCAAATATCCATCTGACAACACATGAGACAGGTGAGATTCAGAGACCCCAGGGTTTCCACTGCTGTAAGCTGTGCACTCTGTGGACAGACTTGAAGGGAACCTCAGCTCTGCCTTCGCCTTGATGGTCCCACATCCCAAAGCCCAGGATACCTTCTTCCCTTCCTTTGGGAGAAGACCACAGCCCCAGTTTATATATTTCACTAGATTTTTTGGTATTAATTTTGCTTACTTTATTAAAAATTACATTAAAATATTTTTAAAATATTTTATTTATTATTTTTATTTTATGTGAGTGTATTGCCTGTATGCATGTGAGTGCACCCATGTCGTGCAATGCCGCAGAGGTCAGAAGAGGGCTTCGGATTCCCCTGGAACTAGAGTTAAGGATAGTTCATCGCCGCCATGTGGGTGGTGCTGGGACTCAAACCCGGGTCCTCTGCAAGAGCAGTCAGTGCTCTTAACTGTTGAGCCATCTCTCCAGCCCCACATTAAAATATTTTTATGTTTTTCTTTTAATTTTTACATTTGTTGTAAGGTATACACGTGGTGGTCAAAAGACAGTTTGAAAGGTTCTCTCCTTTCACCATGTTGATTCTAGGGCCCAAATTCAAGTCATCAGATTTGGCAGCAAGTATCATTACCTATCGAGCAATCTCATCAGTCCTGAAATACGTTTCATTCTTCATTACTGAGGTTCTGTTTCTGTGTTTGTTCTGGAATAGTGTCCATTATCTAGTCCAGGCTGGTCTCAAAGTCTTAATCCTTTCATATCGTCTCCCCAAGTGCTGGAATTACAGGCATGTCCCACCACACCTGGCTGGGTTTGCTTGCTTGCTTGTTTGCTTGTTTGTTTTATGGTGCTGGGAGTCAAACCTAGGGCCTCACACCTACTAGGAAGTGTGAGCTACATTCCTAGCCCATCACTGAGTTTTGTACTTAAGACAAATGCCTCACCTCACCCCAACCTTAGTCCTGCATGGAGGAGTCTCAAAAGGGCCAGAGCGGGCAGCTGCTGCAGTCATCCTGCCTCAAGCATCCCAGACCGGCTCCCTCACTTTCTGGCGGAAGGTCCCTTCTGACAGGAAGGGAAGGGCAACATCTCTGCACACACGGACAATGTGAAAAGGTAAACCAACTACTGAAGGGGCCAATTCACCGAGGATCGGGTCTCAAATATAATAAGCTGTCTCCTTTGGGTAATTCACTCAATCAAAAGAAAAATTATCATGAAATAAGAGAAGGTATAAACGGTAGAAGGAGAAAAGGCAAGGAAAGAGTGAACTCCCACCTGTCCAGACCTGTGTGCTAAAGCAGCCTTCATCCTCAGCCCTGTGGCGCCCCCTGCTGGCTCCAGGTTGTTTTCTCTCGCTTAACCAACCAACACTGGAAATTCAAAAATCTCTTTCCTTTGCAACTAGCTTACTATTAAACTCGGAACAAGCACGGACATTCCCAAATTTCCCTTCTTTCAGGAAACCCTGCATCCAATTTTTTTTCTGGAAAATAAGAGAAATGAGCTAAATAAAGCATAGCAGTTTTTCTATCCACGTCACTGCTCAACAATCTCCCATGGTTCTGCCTTGCCTACAGAATGAAGCTCACAGTCCTTCACTTAACACAGGGAGTTCCTATAACTGACCATCCGAGGGGCCTAGGGGAAGCCCTGATACCAGCCAAATAACCTGAGGATTTGCTGAGCACATCTCCAGCTTCTCCTTCTAAAAGGAGCCTCCGTTTCCTCTAATGTCTCCTTCCAGGCGTCTAAAGATCTCCTACTGACAGATGAATGAACATACAAATGTGATTCATACATACGATGGAACATGATTCTGTCTTTAAAAGGAAGAAAAGGGGCCAGTGGGTAAAGGCACTTGTCTTGAAGTCAGTTTGATCCCTGGCACCAACAAGGTAATAGGAGAGAATCAACTCCCCAAAGTTTTCTTCTGACCTCCACATGCACAACATGACATGTGCACATGCACACACAAACAATAAATAAATATACTTTAAAAAATCTAAAGAAGCCAGGTGAGGTGGTATGTGGCTTTAATCCCAGCCTTCAGGATGCAGAAGCAAGCGGATCTCTGTGAGATTGAGGCCAGCCTGGTCTACATAGCGACTCCCAGGTGGGCTGGGACTAGGGAGACCCTGGGAGGGGGGGGCTAAAGAAAGAGAATTTTGATACATACTGCAACATAGACAAATCTTAAAGATGTTGTACTAGGTGAATAATCCAGTTCAAAAAAGGGCAAACTCTGATCCCACTCATAAGAGTTATCTGAAACAATCACGTTCACAGAGCTAGAAAGTGTAATTGTGGGGTCACTGTAAAGATGGCTCATCAGCTAAGAGCACATACTATTGTTTTTTGTTTTTCATTTTTTATCTTTTTGAGACAGGGTTTCCCTGAGCCCCAGCTGGCCTGGAACTCACTATGTAGACCAGTCTGACCTCAAACTCACAGAGATTTGCCTGCCTCTGCCTCCCAGTGCTGGGATTAAAGGCATGCACCACCACGCCCAGGAGGAGCACATACTATTCTTGCAGAGACCCAGAGTTCAGTTCCCAGCATCCAAGTCAGATGGCTCACAAATCCCTATAACTCCAGCTCCAGGGGATTCACACCTCTCTCCTTCCCCGGGCACTGCACTTGTGTGCACAAACCCATACACAAACACATAGGCATAATTAAAAACAAAAAATAACAAAGTATGACTATGGTAGCCAGACGTTGAGCTTGAGAATAGGAAGGTAGTGTTTAAAGGGAAGAGAGTATCAGTTCTCCAAGATTAAGAGTTCTGGATGGTGGTGAAGGCAGCATAGCACCAATGTACTGAACACTTTTTTAACAAGGAAGAAAAGGGGGAAATTACGTCATGTGAATTTCATACAATTGAAAACATACAGGCTTCTTTTGGCTGAAAACGTACAGATTTTCCAGAGCAAGATGAAGCATGAGGAAACAAAGACCGTTTCCTCTGGCAGCAGAGGATGAATTGCATTCAAAAGGAAATAACCTGTTCTACAGCCAAGTCTTTTGGAGGATTACACCAGGTACAAGACAGACACACTTTCCCAAACTCTCTCAACAGTCATCACTGGGGACACGCAGACTCTAGGGCTTTGAGGGACCCACAGCTTGTTTGAGGTCTCATGCCAGGTCACAGGTAGACCCTGGATGCCAGTGTTTCCAGTGCTTTACCAATACCAGCCACCACTGCCCTAGGCTTTAATCATTCCATCACAAGTGAAAACAGGCCATTGGGTTCCCTCAGATAGCCTTCTGCATGTGATGAATGTTTCAACTAGGCTTATCCTGGGACATTCAGTGAAAATTTAAGGCAAGCAACATTAACAGACATGGGAGAAACTACTGGATGTGCTATCTCCTTCTTCCTTTTTAGAAAAATCTTGATTTTAAGGCAAGAAGGCATCAAGCCTAGGGAATTGAAAACAAAAAAAAATCATAAATCCCAGACTCACACAATTAGGTCGGGTGATTAAATTCTAGTCAATAAAATGTAAATGGAATAGTAATGTGTATAAATGTAATCCTAGCAGCAGGGAACTTCTGGGAAAAAGAAAGCTGGTTCATCTGAAAGGGGATTTTCCATGTAGGCCTGTCCCCTTCCTTCCTCACTGGTACCTGGAAGTAAGCATGATGGCTGGGGAACCAGCTGCCAGTTAGGACCAAGAGGTAATGTTAAACAGAAGCCATGGATCTTGGTTAATGGAGCAGAGGATGGAATGAGTCCAGATACTATGACCATAGATTCACAACTCCTCGCTTAAGTCTACCCACAGCTGTGAGACCAGATAAACTTTGTAGCATATGTCTGTGTTCTATTTTGGGCTCAGATGGGCTGACTTTGCTTGTCTTATTTGAAGTTTCACACCCACTTACTCAGGGCAAAGTCACCTGCAGCTTCTTGTATGATTTGACATCATTCCTAAGAGTAAACCCAGAGTCATTTGTCAATCAGGCCTAATCAGGCTTTGAGACAAAGGCTAGCTCATTTCCTAGCAAAAGTGCTCCAAGCAAAGAAAGAAACTGCTTACAAAACAACTATATTTAACACAAAAGCAGCATTCTGACTGTAATTTCTTGTGAATATGAATTGCCTCTCTACAGAATCCATACCACTGAGGAGGCCCAGAAGTCCTGTATTCGGGGAAGTTTCAGCTCACAATGTACTCCCCAGAAGTCTCTTCCTGAATCACTACAAGTGAGCACTGTAGGAGGAAGAGAGAACAGGAGAAGGCAGGATATCAGGAAGGTACCTGAGCCTCAGGGAGAGGACAGAGTGAGGAACACTACCCACCATAGGGACCAGAAAAAGGGTACATACAAAACCAGCTCTCCAGAACAGCTGATTATGAGGATCCAAGAGGTGCTGATGGTGGGAAGCAAAAGAGTCTGAGGGCTTGCTAGGCCTCAGTAACCTTTTTGAAAGAAGAAAACACATCCACCTGTTGCCAAACACACAACATTGTCATTACTGAATGAAGATGTCATTGTTATCTGATTGAACATTGCTCTAACACACACACACAGTACACAATATCTACAAGGAAAACTGTCTCCTGAGGCCTGCGGAACCACATGAGGTAGCCCTGGGTAAGCTGAAGCCAACCTCAGACCTCCTGATGAAGAGTCAAACATCAAAGCTTTGGAGCACTGACTCTGTGCTGGTCACAGGGGTGGGTGTTTTGCACAATTTATGACACCTGAGCCTAGAATAGTTTTGAGATTAGCCTAAGGTCACAGAGCAAGGTTGTGGCCACCCTGGGGCCTCCAGGATGTTGAAAAGCCATCTTCCCTAGAGCAAGAACAAACCCAGGGCTCCAAGGGGAAGGAGAACTCTCAACTTCACTGGCCTGCAGATCCATGTTCATTTGCTCTGTGGCCTCCATCTGCTCTTGTTCATTTGCCACTATGGGAACAAAGTGTGTGGATTCAAGTCCCACAAAGGGCCAAGGCACAGACCAACAGGATCCCACAAGAGTCACACTCACTCAGACCTCAGAGGCATGGCAGGAAAACAGCTGGCCAGGCACCGAGCTGTTTAAATAAAAGCCCGAGCCAAGTTCTATGTGCCATGGGGGATTAATACCTAGGATACACAGTGCATTCAAAATATTAAACACAGGCACGAAAAACCCACCCAATTATCCAATCAACAAATGAGCAAATGAAATGAACAGACACTTCTCAGAAGACTAAGTACAGATGACCAACAGAACATGAACTAGCAGCGCCCAGCATCCTTAGCCATCAGGGAAATGCAAATTAAAGCTACACTGAGATTGCATCCCACCCATCAGAATAGCTATTGTTAAAAAACAAGCAACAGCCAGGCATGGTGGCCCATGCCTTTAGTCCCAGCACTCAAGAGGCAGAGACAGGTCGAGGCCAGCCTAGTCTATATAATGAATTCCAGGCCAGCTGGGGCTACAGGGAGAACCTGTCTCAAAAAAGACCAAAATAAATAAATAAATAGTAACAGCAAATGCTGGCAAGGATGTGGGGTAAAAAGGAACCGTTATACCTTGCTGGTGGGAATGAAAAGTGGTATAGCCACTATGGAAATCAGTATGGAGGTTCATCAAAAAATTAAAAGGAGAACTGCCCAATGATCCAGCTACACCACTCATTGGAATATATCCAGAGGCATCTAGGCTAGCACACTACTGAGACACCTGCTCATCCATGTTTACTACAGTACTCTTCACAATCAGCAGCCAAATTGTAGACTCAGTCTAGATGCCCATCAGCAATGAGTAAGAAAATATGGTACATTTACAGAATGGAGTTTTATTCTGCCATAAATAATGAAATTATGTCATTTATAGGAAAATGGATGGGACTGGAGGTCATCATATTCAGTGAAATAAGCCAGATTCAAAAAGACAAATATCCCATTTTCTCTCATCTAGAACCTTTAAGTGACTAACAGAAACGAGGAAAAGAGGGTAATAGAGGTGAATATGGTCAAAGCGTGTGACATACCTGAATGCAAAGGCCATCATGAAACTCATCACTTATACAATGAATATATACTAATAAAAACTGTTTAAATTTTAAACAGACTAGACCAGAAGGGATGGTCAGGAGGGGGTGCTCTCGTCCCATCCCCAGTAACCCCTCACTCCAGAGCAAGGGATGGAACGTTTGTGCATACTTAGGCAAACACTCTCCACCAGATCTCCTTCTGAGACTCTTCCTCTCCCACTCCCTCTATTAAATGAGTGTTTTGCATTTTAAAAGTCAATACTCAGCCAGAAGTGGTGGTGTGCCCCCAGTAAACCCAGACACGTGGATGGCAAGTTCTAGAATACACAGCAAGACCCTACTTCAAGAAAAAAGAATAGGTCAAGCCTTCCATAGCATGCCATGCCCTTTCTACCTAGTCTGGGCTGAGCTTACCTGTGCTTCTGCAATGACTAACCCGACAGCCCTGGAGCAAGGACTCTGACTGGGAGCAGAGCACCTTACCTTTTCCCTCTGACTCCAGGATTTCCTGCAGAACCAGGAATGACGTGGACTGTTTCGGGGGCTCATTTAACTCCTGCTTCTCCTGAAGCATCTTGTAAACCTCGGATTCTTTGTCGATGATGAGGCCGCCAGAAGGCTGAGGATGGTCAAAGCTGAAAAGAATGTTTGGAATTTCATTAGGACTAGTCCAAAGTCAGGAAAAAAGTTCACCAGGCACTCCTGTCTGAGCAAACACACAGGCTGATTGAAAGAGTGGATAGAAATTATCCCATTCCCTGTTGGAGGGGAGGGAGTGGGCATGGATTTGATCAAAACACCTTATATGCATGTATGAAATTCTCAATAAAGTTTTTTGTAAAAGTTAAAAAGAAAAAAGTATCCCATTCCCTCTTCACCCCACCATAGATATAGACCTTCCAATGTTGTGAGGGGTCCTTGTAGGCAGAGCTGGCTGCCACTTTAATACAGTACCAGGCTACTTTTTCCAAATAGTCTCTGTAATTCAATTACGTTTTGGCCAAATCCAGCAGATGGGGAATGCTTTACTTCTTTTTAAATTACATAATCAACATTATGTCAAGAAAATATTTTAAAGGGGGAAAATGTCAACCACAACCTGACCACTAAAGCTCAGCTGAGTCCCTCTGCAGGGGCCACATGCACGCCTAGCAGAAACCACAATGCTTTTCATTGCCAATGACATCAAAGTACTGTCCATGCCTCCAGAAGCTCTTGCCAGTTCAGAATGCAGCTCGGGCTTCTAGCTTAGAGGCAAGAGAACCTGTCCTGCCTCATTCACAGGAGTTGTGATGAGAAAGAAATATGCAGGTGCAAGCGAGCTTTGCCAGCTGTAAAGGTTCAGGCCCAGGGGGCAGGCAAGCCAGACCTTGCCTCCCACCCATTTTTCCTCCAGTCACTCGGCATGCCGCATGCCCCAGGACAAGCTAAGGCAGGCATTGTTATAGGCTCACCCCAGAGCCCAATGGCTCACTCCACTTTCTACTAGGCCAAGCCTTGTGCTGCCTGGGCTCAGGAGGATGGTGGAAGGGAGGCAGCCCCTCAAGTGTGGACGGACTATCCTAAACCTGTCCCCTCTCATACTGGCTCGACCAAGCCTACCAGCAAGACCCACCAGCTGTCTGTCTGCTGTCATTCTATTTTAACACATGAATTGGACTGTTTTATGCTGTGGCTCAATATCATCTAAACTGACTGAGAACCAAATATTTACAGGTTTTTGTTTTGTTTTATTTTTTATTTTATGTGTATGCCTGTATTGCCTGCATGTAGGTAAGTGCACTCGTGTCATGCAATGCCCGCAGAGGACAGAAGAGGCTGTTGAATCCCCTGGAACTGGAGTTGTTAGCTGCCATGTGGGTGCTGGGATTCGAACCCGGGTCTTCTACAAGAACAGTGTTCTTAACCGCTAAGCCATCTCTCCAGCCCCTATTTACAGTTTTTATAACAAAACACAAGTGTAATCAAGCTTAACTCCTTTGGAGAAAGGCCCTTAAAGATGTGGCCTTCCCCTGAATGGCCCTGCTTCTATGCCTGGACCAGTCAGCCCCTTCCAACACTGCATTTACTGCTCCCTCTACCTGGACTGCCACCTCCATGTATGCCACACCCCTGCTTCACATAAGGAACACTCCTTAGAGCGGTTGGCTGCCCTGACTTTCAGCAGCCCCACCCACCTCCATCCCGCTCTCCTTGCTCCTCACTCTTCACCATATACTTTCCTTATTTATTTCTGCATTTCTGGCTCCCCTACTAAGTAAGCTAGCACCTTGCCCTACTTTGCTGTCTACAAACATCCAGGCCTGGTACTGTGCACAGCCCAGGCTCACAGCTCAGGAGGCATCAGCTAAGTGAATGAACAGTAATGTCACTTCCTTCTTGCCACCCTCTCTACTCCTCTGAGCTCACCCAGAGGCCATGTAAGGTGGTACAAGGCCCACCTCCTAGGCCCATATGCCCTCCCTCCTCTCCCTTCCATCACTTCTTCAGAAACTCCCAGAAGGACAATGTGCCCAGAGGAGCAAAGGGCAAAGATCAGACTGTGGGTGACAGATGTAATCAATGCATGGGGGAGGTTTGCTCACCAGTAATAAAGCACAGGCTCTCAGCCGGGCCTCCCCTCCCCTCCTCTGAGCTGCCTCTCAGATTAAGGAAGTAGGAAGGTGCAAACAAATTACACCAGTTACATGTATTCACTTATTTCCCACCCACCGCTGTGCAACTGGTTCAGATACCATTTTTAAAAAGAAAAAGTGTGTTTTCCTTTGGCTGTTTTCCCTGTTACTACTCGCCTTCTGCACTCCCCGCTCCCTTGTCCCTCCCTTTTCTCTCCATGGAGACAAGCTGTGGGGCAGGCAGGACAGTCTCCTGGAACACTTAAGTACTCAGGCCCCAAATGAAAGACTCAACCACAATGATAAAGCCCCAGGTGTTTCCCTTGGACTCCAACCACATTATAACAAAGAACAAGGCCCACAAAGGGTGACATAAGGGGAAAGCTGCTGGTTAAGCAACAGGGAGGAGGGGGGAGCATCCACCCTGCCCACAGCAGCTAGTCTCTGTTCTTGTCCAGATCCCATCCATATCCCCCCCGCCCCGCCCCATTCAGGACCTGCCCCCAAAAGGGGGCATTTGGAATAGTTTTAAACAAGGGTCTTCGACCAACTTACCAACTCCATCCAGTTTTTTTGAGTTAAATGCTTGATTCTTTGAGTGGTTCCAAGCTTGGAACATGTCCCATATTACATTATTTTTTACAAATCTTTTTCCTATTATTCTTAGAACTATTTTAAAATCATGATCAGACCATGGAATGTTTGGGGGAAGAATTTTTCCTCATATTTGCTGTACGTTATGTCTGGAAGCTACCAAGGGAACACTAAAACCAACAGAACCTAATCCATAAGGTCATATCATCTTCCAGCAAACAGCCTGTGTTCCCCAGGGGTTCTGGTTCCTCCATGGGGCGGGGCCTGCTGCAGAGAATTGACTGGAGAGTTAGCCACGGAAGGAGGGGCTTGTGGCGCGATCTTGGGACAATCTTGGGGGGGGGGGGGGTGATGGTGGAACACCCGGAGACCGGCGGGGGGGGGCAGACGCGCTGCTGGTGTCGTTTG